ATGCCAATTTATCAGCCGAAACATTCAGCGCCCATTCCAAGTCATCATCAGTAAGTCCCATTTCTTGCGCATATAGCTGCAAATCTTTCGCGCGCTGAACATCTTGTTGATCCCGACATCCGCCGCATATTACCAGCCGAACCTGTAGATAGCCAGATAAGAGGTACGCATGGAAAACAATAATTTAGGTATGAAGAATCACAAATTTCATTTGATTGATGCTTCGGTTTTTTCAGCTTTGTATGAAAAAGCTTACTTTATAATCAAGATTTTCTTTTACCAATCGTTTTTTGAGCTCCGCCAGGAAGCAGATCTGCAGCCGATGATCTTTTTCGGGTCTGATTTGTCCAATTGATAACATCTGCACACGGCCTTCTTCACTCAGTAACTTCTCCGCTTTTGAATTAATTCTGAAACAGTAAGTTCCTTACTGCGTTAAATTGTTCCTGGATGACTTAAAGACTAGACGTCAACAAAACTGAAATATGACAAAGGCAACAAATGAAATTTTTCTGTGCAGATGAAATGTGTTTGGTATTACTAGTTTTTACGCCTCATACCTGCAGTATTTTATCTGTCACATTTTCGACTAAGTTTTCACATACGCCGAAGTCTCACGTACGGAAATTTGAAAGTAAGTGATTGAAAGTTTTTGAACTTGGAAACTAGACAGGACGGAAAATTGAATTCTGTCCACGCTCGACCCTGAACTTCACATTCACCTTCCACGTATACCTACTTCCCGCATACAAATGCACGGAGTTTTAAGTAGAAAATTTCCTAGAGCGAACCGGAGAAGACAGTTGAAATTTCAGAAAGATGTTTTTTTTTTGTCAGTGAGTGACTCCGAAAACGCAATTCCAGCTTCCAGATATGCCTAGGTCTTACGCACGGAGATGCTAAAGCTTTTTTAAGAAACTTTCTGACTTGGAAAACGATAGAGAAATAACAGGAATTTTCCTGATCACCTGCGAGCTCATTAGAAATCAGCTTTCTACAATGCCTAATTCTCAGGTTTATATGCATGAATATTCAGGCAGGAAGTTACAGAAATCTTTCTCTCTATGCTAATAAGAACTGAGCAAAAAATAAGGTCGTACTGGCTATCTGGTGCGTGTCGCTATTTATATTTTTGAAAAATAGAACAAAACGAATTTTTTAATTCTCGAATCTGATCAACAGACTTCAGTAATTTGTCGACATTGCACGGCGGATAGATTAAGTATGTGCGATCATCAATGCCCAGTAATGTCACAATATGTTCACGAGTCCATCTAAAATTTCATAGCCCGTTAAGGGAAAGACTTTAGGAAATCCACGATTTTCAAGACAAGGAAAGGTTACAAATGTTGGCGTATCTCAAAAAGAAATATAGATACTACAAGTATTATAAATAAAATACAGATAATATTGTTTTTCTGTGAA